GAAAAACTTGTTCTCACATGTATCCAAACTCCATTTGTGCCATCAAATTAAACCAACTGTACAAATATACTTAAAAGATTGGTGATGATTGATTAGTTTTGCCAATTAACAATCATCTGATAAGTGTTATTTTGATATGGCTTTTTAGCTAAAATGATTCCTGAGATTTGAAATCGATAAGATTGGTCCTGAGTTTGTCTATCATCATTTATTTTGTTCCCCTCCATGAAAAATCTCTGTTATAAAATGAAAAAGTTACTCTCAATTTTTGTCAATCATTTTGGCCCATTGTTTATGGAATTGAGGGTATTTTTATTATTTTAGTCCTTATTTGATAGAATCACAGAAGTATCAAAATGATTGATGATGGACAAACTCATGGATCACTTCTGTTAATTTCAAATCTCTAGGACCAAATTGAAGAGTTATGTCAATCTTAACGACCATTTTGGTTAAAAAGTGATTTTATATACGTTGTTCAACAGATTTTTTATCAGTTTAAGGTTTTAGGGCATACAAATTACCGAACATGGATGGTTTCAAAAGCTTTGTTTTAACAAGTTTTAGAATCAAAACTTCCAATCCTGCATATTTTCGGTTTTTTTTCCCTACAGGGTGGGTCAAAACTTGTTTTGTATGCATTTGTCTATCACTTCACGGTTAGGATCGATGAGGCTTGAATGCCAAAGTTAACAAATACATAATATATTCGCATTGGCTTTTTGTAGAGGTGGTTTTTGAATTTGTTGCTATGCACTTGGTTGGGGAATATTGTTGAATGGCTAGCTAGATAGAGAAATGAAAGCTCAAAGACAAAAGGGAAAGTTGCTTTCGGAATATTGGGTACGTGTTAATGGCATGCATACAGTGGGTAGGAAGGCATCTGCATATATCACGTTCATGGTTAATTAGGTTCTTGTTAGGTCTGTTCCCACAATTAATTAAGTTGTTAACTTCATTCTGCACTACAAGTCACAAACTACCCTGCCGTTTAGGGCACCCCACTATGACACTATCATCTATATGTGTGTGCATATATTGACCCTTCAAGTCAGGAAATGCCCATTTTTTTTTAAATGGAGATTAGTTGGGGGCCTACACCACATCGAATTTCAACAATTCAAACCGTCTATATTTTAGGTTGCACATCGTAGATCATCCTTGCAAAATATTAGCCAAATCAGAAATATTTGAATTCAAGAAATTGATGAACAATATGGTCTAAGTAATATTGAAATTTAATCGTGATAATTAATTGAGCAAATAATTTGGATTAAATTGAATTTTTACAAGGATGATCTATAAATCGAAACTTATTAAATTGACGGTTTAGATCATTAAAGTTAGATGTGGATTAGGTCCCACAACTAATCCTCATTTAAAAAAAAATGTGGGTCCATTTCCTTAAAAGGCCTATATATATTTGTATTTGTATGCATGTAATTGAATTAGTAAAGGCTAAAATGTCAAAATGGTCCCTGTGTTATAGTCATATTGCCAATTTAGTCCCCGTGTTTTCAATTTGGCTAATTTGGTCTTCGTGTTTGTTTCTGTTAGCCAATTAATGACATTTCATTCAATCTCTTTAAAAAAAAAAACTCATAAGAAAAATCATATGAGAAAAATTACCCTTTCCCTTTACAGAAAAATGTAAATCAATGAGAAATAACACTTACAAGAAATAAAACTTCTAATTTGAAAAATGATTAAGGTTGTGACATAGAGAAGAGAGGAGATAATTAGAGAGGAGGTCAGAGAGTTGGGAGGAGAATAATTTTTCTTTTAATTTTTAATTTTATTAATTTTAAATATTTTAAATCAAATCAATTATAATTTTATAAATAAGCTTACAATAATTTATATAAAAAAAATTTAAAAGAAATTAGAAGGAAATGTCCTTAATTGGCTAACAGAGATAAACACAATGATTAAATTGGCCAAATTGAAAACATATGGACTAAATTGACCCAATGACTAAAACATAGGGGAAGAGGATCCTTTCCTGAGCTCAGGATGAGGATACTAACCAAGAAATCCGGATCGTTCAAATTTAATCCAACGGCTCCAAACAAGAGGTCCTTTAAAAATTTATAATAATTGCAACCGTTGGATTAAATTTGAACGGTCCTGATTTCATGGTCAGGAGGATCCTCATCTTGAGGTCAGGAGAGGATCCTCTTCCAAACATAGAGACCATTTTAACATTTAAGCCATTAGTAAATGTATATTAAATAGTCGAGATTGACCTAACCTTCAACGCTTGTGATTGGCCTTTTCAGTTTAACTTAAACGGGACCAAGCTTAACATTATGTTGCCTAAGTACTTTTACAGGATCCCCAGAAACCTACTGATTTTTTGTTTTTATAGGGTCATGTTATATTCGAAGGGGTTATAAAACCAAACAATCCCATGCCAAAACAAACCAACACAGAATCGAACAAAAGGAGAAAAGTAACGAGATTGCCACCGTTACGTCTCTGTCAGTGTTAGGGAGAGACTAGTAGATAGCCAATGTGTTAACATGACCGTTAACTAAAAGTTTACCCAAAGTCCTGTGTTAGATTGTTTGTTCTCTACGAAGAAAAATACTTAGACTGCTTACGAGCAAGATAAATCATACGTAAAAACCTTTCTTTTTGTCATTTTAAAAAGCCACTTCAATATATGTGTTAGCTTAATTATGATTTGAAAATAAAAATGAGTGACGCTTTAAACGTAAGGAGTCAAGTAGTGTTCTACTGTTAATACAGTTTATTATTAATATAAAATAACAAAAACAAATACACACACACACACACACACTTATACATATGATAAACGACTTGCCTCGCCGTGACTTTCTTTTGGATTCTCAAAACTTCTGTCAGTCCACCCCCGATTCGTGGTAGAAAACCCATCATTATCTTAGCTATGCTACCAGAAGCTCTGGGGAAGTCGGAATAGGAGAGCATTCATCTTGGGGTAGGCTTACTACTTAAATGTTTTCGGCAGTTATCTGCACTGACTTGGCTAACCAATATTTACCATGAGCACGATACCTAATATACTAGAGGTGCGTCCTTCCTGATCGTCTCATACTAGGGAAAGGTCCTCACATGGTGGTTATGTACAATTTTAACCTCAAACATGTTTGTATGAATGTATTAAAGTTGAGAGTATTCGTACTTGTAGTTGCATCCTATTCTCATTCGTCTAGTTTATTGAAGCATTTTTGTGCAAGGCTGTCAACCTAATAATCACTGACAAGGATTGTATGCCCTCCTACTTTCGATGCCCTCTCGTGCTCTTCTGTCTTGTGTGGTCACGGTTAAGCCACGTCAACATTTTATATATATTTTTTATAAAGATAATAAGATAAAAATAAATAGTAATATAAAATGTTGACGTGGTTTAACCGTGACCATATAAACAGGAGGACACCAAAAATAGGAAGATAGACAATTATTGTCCAATAATCACATCCAGGGTTTTCATTATAGAAATAAAATAAACAGGAGATGTGAGCTGCAGCCTCTGAAGATACAAAAGTGGAGATTGGACATATATGTGACTTAAGAGAGTGTGACACGGGTCCATTTAAATAATGCAGTTGCAATCCAAATATCTTTTACAGAAGAAATCGTTCTAATATATATTTGTAGCGTTCACTTTCGTGCTTCTTTATATATTCGTAAGTTGGACCTCGTAATTCTCCAAAAAAAAAAAAAAAATAGTTGGACCTTGTACATCGTTTTTTAATTTCCTTCTTTCTGCATCTCTACCTTTAATATATCAAGCAACAGTGCACGTTAATTGTTAGGTTCGTAAATCATATGATGTGTTGATTGATAGGTGATTTTTTTTTTAATTATTAAAAAAAAAGCTCAATCATCAATCGTTACATTATTTGATCTACAAAAAATAATCTAAAAATTTGATCTCTCTAATATTTTTTTTTTTCATATTTGTTTGATATATCTCTCTCACAGACACTATACTTATTTTTTTTCCCTTGTGTTTTTGTCAAAGATTGCCTTATCTTACGGAATCGTTCTTTTAGCTTGCACGATTCCTTTAACTTTTTCATTCTTTATATTAAACATTTTCATGTTGACTACGGAGCATGAATCACCGAATGGAAAAAGAAAAAAAAAAACTCTGAAAAGTCCCATCGTTGAACTTATGATTCAAGCGATATTCTGATTCAATTAAGTTATAAAAAGGGAGAATCAAATATGATTGCAGAAGAATTAGCAAATTGCTCTAAGTCACTTGATTTTGCTACATTACTCTAACTAATTTAGTTGCATTCAATGTCGAAAAACTATTTAGCTAGTCATTCAACTTAACATCTCCAACATCACTCTGTATTTTAACAAATCTTAATATTTGATTACTTCTTCAAGAGAGAGAGCGCTTTTAGGCCAAAGCGAAAGAGTTGAATCGTTGGAGGGTTTTAATAATTCTTTAACAATTCACAAATGTTAAATTCTATCTCCTAGTTTACAGTGACTATTCACGGTGTTAGTTTAGCGAGCCATTTACCAAGTCTCTTTTTTTTTTTTTTTTTTTTTGGCTAAAATAGTTAGCTAATGTCGTTTCAAAGAGTCTCTCGGAGATGCTCTTACTTCTCTCTATTTGGATCTTTTATGTTGTTTGTAATTTTCACAAATTAGAGAACAGGCCCATTGTTGCTATAGGCTTTGACATCCACCTTGTACTGTATTTCTAAATACTCAAAAAAGCCCAGGCAAGAATTGGAATAGACAAGCCGGTCCAGTTTTTAAAAGCGGGTTTCATGACAATTGAACAAAGAATATTGAGTTCTTTTAAGAGTATGATATCCACACACCCTTCGAAATTTCGGCCGTTAAATAAGATGGATTGATCAACAAAAGGTGTGTGAGAAGTAAAACAAGATGTGTGGATAGCAAACCCCTTCTTTTATTACAATTTCTTTATTTCTCTCCATTTACGTTAAGGATAGGGAATAAATTGATTTTGAACTCGCAATTCATGAGTTTCGAAATTGAGTACAACTCAAATTAATGGCTGAAAATGCTAAAAACCCCTCGAATTGAATCGCCCAATACATCAAATTTAAGTTTTAGCCATTCAATTTGGAGAAGTGATCAACACACTTTACTATCTATTCAAAATCCAAAGACATTTTCTAGGTATATAGAATGCAAAAGAAAAAAAGGAAAAAAAAGAAATGAACCAAAAAATGACATTCATCAACTCCCTTGTGCCACACGAAGCGTCCAAATGCAGATTGCAGCAGCCCTTGCCAAAACCGTGTCCGTAGCTCTTCCCTTCTCACCACCAGAAAAGCTTCTAGTATTCACAATCTTCGTAGCGTACACGTAACGTATTGTATTTACATTATCGTCAACCGTGAGATCCATAGTTAGCAGTCATAATGAAACTCCTCCCAGAACTCTTTTCAGATCGGATTTCTGTTCCGTGGTAAGCCTTGAAGGATACTTGACATCAAACTTGATTCTCAAATTTCCCTTTTTTCCAGGTTCTTTTGAGATCGGCATTCCCTCATTCGGTACCACCATCTCAGCTCCAGGTTTGATGATATCAGTTAACGGGATCACGAGATTCCTTCCGTCCAGCGTGGGTAGGTCAAGAGTCTTGCCGGTGAGTGCCTCCAGCAGTGTTATCTCCTGGTTGACCACCAGATCATTACCGTCCCTCTTGTAAAGTGCATGTGGTTTCTCGTCTACCACAAAAATTAGATCTGCCGGAATCACTCCTAGCTCTTGGTTACCCTTCTCAGGGAAGGTGATCTTTGTGCCCTTCTTCCAACCTGGTCTGATCTCAATAGTCAAAATCTCCTCCACAGTCCGAACCTTACTGCAAGAGAATTAATCATGCATCAGGCCAAGTAAACAAAAGCCAAATATTTATTGAGAACTACATGCTCTTGCGGACCTGTATCTGTTTTACAGAACAAGATAAAATGGCTAGGCAGAATATGGCGTGCGCTCAGGTTATTATTTTCTAACAGGGAAAAGAAAATAGGAATTAAACATTATATACTTCAACAGATATTGGCTCAAGGGGTGTCAAACCAGTAAAGGTCAAATGAAATGTAGTGATTTTTCTTCCAGTTGTAGAAAGTAAGATCCCTAAGCAACAAGTGGCATGTGGCTTCTTAATCAACATCCGAAAACGCAACCAAAAATGACCAATCACCCACAAACTTCAAAACGAAAAGGTTCTGCATAAAAAACTTTATTTCTCTAATCACATTACAGGGGCTAAGTAGTTTTCTCTTTTAGTGCAAGACGACGTTTAATAAAAACATTAACACTTCAACGTTTCCTCGGATGGCAACATCAAGGCTTATTTCGATAATTACAGATTTATAACTGATAGAGTTATTTGTAGGAGCAACTGCAAGATGCTACAAACATCTAATTACATAAGCAAACCAAATAGCTCTTGATCTTGCAGATCAAATAATCAGTAAGACAGAAAAGTATGAAAGACAAGATTCAACAAAGAATGCGGCTATCAATGTAAACATTGAAACACAAGGCTTATTTCATACAACCACCCACAAACTAGCCAATCCAGATAATGCAAATGCACCGGTCATGATAATGAATGACAACTCTCAGCCCTTAGGAAAGTCTTGGGGTAAACTCATGGGAAGTGAGATTCAAGGAGGACTGAGGCTGCCTGTGATTATTAGCCTACTACCTAGCATAAAGCCCATGATTATTAGCCTACTGCCAAGCATAAAGCGTACACCGTATTTTACTAGCCTAGCCTAAAGCGTACACCATATTTTATGAGGTTAAACAACTTCTTGCCTTCACTAGCACTATGGCTGCTTAAATTATTATTTATTTTTCTATTCATCTTTCAATGACCAAGTGTAAAGAGCATTTCTTCTAACCCTTGTATTCTAGGGTGCCACAACACATATTCTAGAGTCTAGACTAGCAGGACCAACTCTATTTAGAAAACACACAAAAACCTCATGATCCAATTCAAACCCGCCTCGCAAACCAAAGAAAGATGAGAAAGCTACCTTATTGACAGAACCAAACTTTAACAATAAACTGCATGGACTCAAGTTAATCACATTCTATCACCAAGGCATGAGTTAGGTTAGCGTGGTAGACTTTTCTCCCTATCACCCATCAATCACAAACATATCTGGAAGGTGTTTCATTTACAAAATTCCCACAACAAACTCAACATACTTGAGCAACAAGTTTCAATCTTGTTCGTGCTAAATTTGATTTAACGGGTGCCTTTACGTGACAAAAACCACACAATACGCTTGTTTACATTTCATTACTGCTAGTCTGTTACTCAACTTATAAAAGACTAATACAAATGTCATACATTATTCAAAACATTTCGCAATCGGGTAACCTATGAAAGGGAAAGATCACGGCTTGACCAACGACACAAACATTTCTAAAGAAAGAAAGACTAACCAAATACCGATTGGCATTGCAAATACAAGTAAACAACAAGAAAAAGATAAAAATTCGGGCTTTTGCTTGAAATTAAAGAAACTAAGGAATTGGGAATGAAAGATAGATAGTGCAGTGGAGTAAAATTACCCAGCACCAACGGCGTCGTAGATGTTTCTGGAAATCTTCATCTTCTTCTTGACACCCTTATAGAGCTCCTCCAAGCTGCACGGCAACAAATTCTCGACCGCATTGGCCTTCCTATGAGGGGCAGCCCCGCCACCGCTACTGGTACCCACAAACTCTGGCCCACCCCCGTTGGGCGTCCTAAAGAACCCGTCTCTATACCTCCCTCCGCCACCGCCCCCACCACCTCCGCCGTCGGATCCAAAAATCTCGGCGTAAATGTCCTCGGCATCCCTGGGATTGAACCTGAACGACGTCGTATTCGGGTGCGCGTGGCGCTGGTGGTGGTTGTTGTGGTTGGCGTAGTAGTGGTGGCCCGCGGCGGAGGAGGAGCGGGCAGAGGATGAAGAAGAGGGAGGCGGAAATTGCCCCGATTTCAAGGCCTCCTCGCCGTAAAGGTCGTAGATCTGGCGCTTGGCGGGGTCACTGAGGACGTCGAAGGCCTCGGAGATTTGCTTGAACTTGGCCTCCGCCTCCGGCCTCTTTCCGGCGGGGTTCTTATCCGGGTGCCAAATCATGGCCAACCTCTTATACGCCTTCTTCAGGTCATCCTCGCTCGCGTTCCGATTGACTTTCAGTATGTTGTAGTAGTCCACCCCCATTGCCGCCGCTGCAATCGCCTTCTTCTTTGTTTTCGGATTTTCGAATTTTCTCGGTTGCGTTTTCTGGATTTCGGTTTTTTTTTTTTTTTTCCCGGTTATGATTTGGGAAGTGTAACCGCCGGGGACGATTTCATGGAGAGTTTAAGGTGGGTCCCAATTAATTAAAGGGAAAATGTTTTAATGGCGATTATTATTATTATTATTTCAAATAGCGATTAATTAATTGGAATAATAATTTTTTATAATTATTTTGTACCTACTCCCGAAATTATGTCAATTGATTCACTGAATTTTCAGATGAATTTGAAATGATTAGGGATGTTACTGTAACATGTATTTGAACTCGTTTGAAAGCGTTTTAAAAATTATTGAAACTACTTTTAGAAAAAATAATTTTGGACTCCAAAAACATTTCAAATTCTTAAAAAAGTTGGAGCGAGAATTTGTGTTTGGTAGGAGTGTTTTTTTTTTCTCTACAAAATTATGGGTCTAAAACAACAAACAGTAGAAAGCAGCTCTAGCTATGCTTCTAAAAAAATGTTAGTTTTCATAGGAAGCAGATGAGCAATAGCTTTTAATGAAACTTTGATTTCAACAATACTGCATTTCTTGATTTTTTGCTAAAAGTATTTTTAGCACTATAGTACTAAATATTTACCTGCTTTTTTCATAGCTTTATTGTTACAACATAACAGAAGCAGTTGTAAAAAAAGGAAATGGATCATCTCTGGATTTATTCCACCAAATTCACCAATTCAGGACCTTAAAATTTAATCCAATAGTTAAAAACAGGAACTTACTTTAAAAGTTATAATAATTTTAACCGTTGAATCAAATTTCAAAACCAAAATTAATGAATTTGGTGAAAGAGATCCAGAGGAAATCCTTTCGGAAATAAAAATCGCGGCACCTACAAACTAGACGTAGCTATTACGTTAACGTGCAAAATAAACCGTATATTTTGAACATAATAAGTATGAAATATAAAAAAATAAGAGAATGGTTTTTATACATAATTAATAAATCCATAAAAATGGTTTTGAGTTGAGCTGAGTGGAGCCCTTACGATAGTGGGACCCAAATAGATTTTCTAGAATATTCTGAAGCTGTTTCTTGTAAAGGATCTTCGTGATTTGGGTAGGGAGTATAATTTAGACGTGAATTAAGTACGCTGATTACACAAATATTAATATTTTAAGGATATAATTATCTTTTTTATATACAATATTGTTGCAATTTCTTTGCATAATAGTCATCATTTGCACTAAAAACATATGAATATGACAAGTTGAACGGTCATCACAAAAGCCAAATTCCAGGTGATTTTCTGGCACTAGTGAATCAGATCACACGACTGGCTGAAATGTCTCTATAAGCCTTCTTAGTCTCCAGAAAGATGAACTGACGTGACTAAATCATAGTCCACTTTTCAAAGAAAAAAAATAAATTAGCAAATTAGTTGAATGTGATTTTCATGGTTCCATTTTCTCCAGTGTACATTTCTAACTATTAAATTAAATAATCCAAATGAGAATCAGCGCACAAAAATAAACAAAGCCATGCGGAAAAAGAAAAGAGGCGTGCACAAATCATTTTCGCGAAGATGATACAACAAATCAGGATCACTTTTAATAAATACAAAATGAGAACACCTTCAAAGCTCATAAGGTCAATGAAGAAACAAATCGCTTGCCGTCCAATTTAGAATGCAAACCATCAAACACAATGATGTAGATATGACAAATATACAAGTGTAATTGACAGGTACAACACGATCGGAGAACTACGTACTACGTATGTATACACGAGCCTCGATGATCCCGACAACCATGCAGTCCTTGAAGCCACAAGCTAACAACCTACCAATAAGTCAAGCCGATGGAGTGCGAGAGGATTGATCCAGTATCTGCCCCCAAATCTCAGTTTACCAAACCCCATCCGCCGTGAATTTCAGGTGTATCGACAGTAAAGGAGAAGTAGCCCCCGGCAAGCATGCACAATCTAAAGAAGAATAGGAGTTATACGGCAATGGCTTGACCAGTTAGCCCATCGTGAAGCTGCAACGAACCATCTTTCATTAGGTTGAGGCTTAAACTCTTGAATCTCTCCCTTGAATACTGTCGAGATGCCTTTCTCCAATCGGTTCCAGTTTTCATCATCGCAACAAACTCCTCATAACTGATGCGTCCATCCTGATGGTTTGCGAAAATGAACAATAAATAATAACAAATGGAGCATTTGCACATAAATACTGGAAAACGCAGGATGTAAGGAGCAAGTATAAACAATAGAAGAGATGAAAAGGCTTGAAAGTCAAACCTTGTCAGTGTCGACCTCACGCATGATGTCATTCAGCACCTCAATATCGGTTTCACCAGATTCATCTTGTAAACTTTCCCTTAGCTCACCTAATTCAATATATCCACTTCCGTCTTTGTCAAAGAACACAAACGCTCTGCGGAGATGCTCATCGTTCTCCATCTTCTGCAAGTGAATTGTTACTGCTGCAAACTCTCCATAGTCCAGAACGCCATTCCCGTCAACATCAGCCTATAGAAAGAAAAATACCACAGAAGGCATCGTTTTGTTTGTTAAATGAAAAATGAAAAGAAGTATTAAAAACTCAGTGAATGAATCAAAACTGCAGTACCTACCACTTCCATCAACATCTTAATCTCCGGTTCAGCCAATTGTGAACCGACTTTGTGAAGCCCCAACTTCAATTCCTCATATGTTACTCTGCCATCTTTGTCAGTGTCCATCAATGTAAACATGTCTCTGATTACTTCCACTTCTTTAACAGATAAGTGTTCAGCAATTACCTACAGTATTTGATTGGAAGAAAAATGAATCACCGAATGTCAAATGCTTCGTAGAAAACACATCGTTGAAATAGTAGCCGGTACTTCAACTGACACTCATAAAGTACCGGTTACTGATGCTTACCCTTAGGGCCTTCTTTTTGAATCTATTCATTACTGAGAACTGCTTGAGTCTTGGCCTCACTATATCACCTAATGGAACGTTTGGAGCTTTCTTCGCATTATGTAGCCATGGATGTTCTGTAATCACAAAACACAAAGCACAACTCAGTTCACCTATTTTACAAAATGCAAGTTAAGTTGCAGAGCTAGTCAATCTAGTATCAGCAATTCAGCATAGACATGCCAAAACACACTCATAAGTTTCATTTCTTTCTTGTTTAATGCTAAACTGATGCACACAAAAAAGGGGTTACTCCAATTTGGTTAAAGACCGAAAACATTCTCAAATGTTTACCTTGGCTGGGACTCTAAGTCAAGGATACACAATTTCTTATCTAAATCATTTAAAATTAAATTGATTTTCATAAAGCCATAAACTTTATGGTATTGATCATTTCTTCCCTTTTTTTAGATCAATAAGAGTTCATTTAATCAAAATATCATCACTCTACAGAGCTGTACAACCAAACTACTGAGGGAGAAATGAAACAACAAAACAGAAACGTCAACTGAAAAATAAGGTAAAAAAAAAAAATAGAGAAATCCTAGTGATTGGAAATAATGACTAATAATTGGAGGGAAGCTTCCAATCAGCATCTCTAGTTCCAATTAGCTTGCTCTATTAAATAAATCAGCCGATCTATGACTTATTCTAAATTTTACCCCTACTCGCAGTTAAAATGATATAATGGAAAAAAGAATGCGCCTCTTATCTAATGCATTATGTCATTTGGAGCCCGAATTGCTACTATACTGGATCTTGTTAATACAGTTTGATGTTTACTAAGGCATGTTCTTGTGAAAACGACTATAATGCGTGTTCTCTTAACGTCAAGATATTTCGCTTAGATTCACATAATGCCATGGAATATAGACTCCATAATTTTCCAATTCCTAAAACAAGATGCCTTATAATTCATTATGCATTTAGTGAGAAGAAGTGTATAATCATCCATCGCACCAACTAACGCAATGCTATTGCCATCTAAATGTTGAAGCATGACCAACTATGCAACTCCCTTGAAATGCCATCAGATAAAGATTCAGAGACACACTGCTGAAGACTTACCAAGCACCTGTTGGGCGGTCAAGCGCTTTCTGGGATCTGGCTCCAGCATCTGTCGAACAAGGCTTTTAGCACTCTCCGAAATCTGAGGCCAGGGTTCTCTCTTGAAATCAATCACCCCCCTCAAGATTGCAAGAGCCACACCCTGTTCAGACTCTGTCGCATTGAAAATTCAAACAAAGAACCAGCGTTACAACCCCAAACCAAAATCAAACCGCCCAGATAACGAAAAATCAATTGGGTTTAAACATATTTTGGGAGCTAAATTCAATAGAATACCTGCCCAAAATGGAGGAACTCCACATAACAAAATGTAAAGTATCACTCCGGCGCTCCATATATCAACCTCCGGCCCATAATTTCGTTTCAAAACCTCCGGTGCCATGTAGTACGGACTGCCCACAATCTCCATAAACCTCTCCCCTAAACCCCCACACAAACAAAATCTAAATCAAAATCCATGAAATTCAAACACAAATAAAACCAAATAAATCCGTACAAACCCGAAAATCCATCTAGAATTCAACAAAATCCCAGAAAAGTACCAGGCTTGAAGAACACAGAGAGCCCAAAGTCGATGGCTTTAAGGGGCGAGTGCTCCTTCTTGTTCGAGAAGAGAAAGTTCTCGGGCTTCAAGTCCCTGTGCATAACCCCATTAGCATGGCACATCCTCACCACCTCTGCCACCGTCCTGGCGACGTTCGCCGCCGCCCGCTCACTGTAATGCCCTCTGGCCACAATCCTATCGAAAAGCTCGCCGCCCTCGCAGAGCTCCATGACCAAATGGACGTTCTCGTTGTCCTCGTACGTCGCCCTCAGCTTCACAATGTTCGGGTGCTCCGGCAGCGTGGACATTATCGCCACCTCCCGCCGCACATCCTCTATATCCACCTGAACCAAACAAAAAACCCAAATCATAAAAAAACCCACCAAAACCAATCGGCATGTCCGATTTCTCCGATTTCAGATCTCTGCGCCGTCGTGCGTACCGCCGTTCGAAGCTTGCGTTTCGATATGGACTTGCAGGCGAGTGCCTGCTTTGTCTCGCGGTCCGTGCACAGG